CCAATTAGTTATAATTCAGTTAAAAGAATTATATTCAATGTATTGCACTAATAAGGTGATTGAGTCATCTAAACAAAAAAATTCTTTAGATAGTTTTCACAAATTAGCTCAACTAAATAAGAATGAAACAACTGATTCAAGAGATTTAACAACTGAAATAGCCAACTACCTTGCCTCACCCCCAGAACCAGATACTAATCCCTTAACATGGTGGAAGCATAATTCTACCTACTTTCCAACTTTAGCTTCTATTGCAGCGAATTATTATGCACTTCAAGCTACAAGCGTTCTGTGTGAGCATGCATTTTCTATCGCAAAGCATACAATTAGCCTTACACGAAACCATCTTCTTGAACAAACGGCTAGGGCTTCATTATGTTTAAAAAATTGGTTAGAAACTAGTATTTTAGAGAATAAATAAATAAATGTAATAACGATAATAAATAAATAAATGTAATACTGTATTATTGCTGTATTAAATTTTCTTAACGTTAATATTATTTGAATAAATCACATGGTATCACAAATTTCACATGATAGAATGAGTCTTTGTCTAAGTCTAACTCCGGACCGAGTTTAAATTAAGGTTCGACTCCTGGAACCGAGTCGAACCGAACCGAACTTTTCACATCCCTGGGCAGTAGTGACTGGACTCGTATCAACTCGTGATTCGTGAATTAAACTCTCGAATCATTCGATCGAATTACTATTCAAGTTTTATTCGAGTTATTCGAGTCACGACAATTAAATCTTAAGTTTTGTAAATTGCGAGTTACAAAATCATATTTCAATAAAAAAAATACAACATATGAATTGAAACTTGTCATCCATCAGTAAAATTACTAAATCACTCCATTATCGATGCATGATTCTTGATGTTAATTCTATCTATCTTTTTTAGTGTCGAAAATAAATTTTATTTTATGTTTTCCATAATGTACTGTACTTCACAAAATGAATGTTTTTTTTCTAAAAGCGACGTTTCGCATAGCTGGTAAATTTTACCTATGGTGAGTATTAAAATTGTTTAATAAATACTGTACAAAGATAACAAAAAGTTTAAGGCTAAAAAAAAATTTCATATTGAGTTTTACTTTTATTTTTGATTGGCTATTTAATTGCTTTTTTTTGATTTTTTATTAATAAAGTTAAGTGTCTCGCATAATTTTTGCATAATATTTACAATAGCAGATAGAATAATAATTTGTTCGAATTATTCGAGTCTTAATTATACTACTTATAAAAACGAGCATATTTTAATCGAGTCACGAGTTGGCGAGTCGATCACTAGGTTAGAAACTGGCTTGAACTGGTTAATTAACAAAATGGTAAAGATAATCAGTTTATTTTTTAACGTAGATAATTTTTTTTTTAATAATAAAAGAAAAATCAGATTATGTCAAATAGTGCACACAATTCAACACTAACTTCAACCACACCACCGTCCTACAAACTTCGAGCAAGTCTCACACCGACAGAACGGTTAACTACGGTATTATATTTAACCAGTTCGTGGGCTCTAATACTTGGTTCATACGAGGGAGGAAAAAAAGCTGGACTACAATATTTGGCTGAAAATGCTCATAAATTACCAAATACCAAAGGAGGATGGTATTTTTATCATAAACGAAAAAATTATCGAATAGTTATTGGTGGTATGAAAAGTGGTGTACGTTTTGCGATGAAAACGAGTTTAGTATGTTTAACGTTCACGGGACTGGAAGCTGTTTTTGATGAAGTTAGGAAAGAAAATGATTTTTTGAACTCGTGTGGAGCTGGAATTACTACTGCCTTGATCGTTTCAGGGATATGTAAAATTTTTTAATTTAATTTTATTTAATTAAATTTTTTTTTTCTTTAATTAAATTTATTTATTAAAATAAAAATATATTTATATAGATCGATTGCCGAGACAAAGCGTTAAATATGCTTGCATGATTGGACTTGGAGTTGGTATTATCACTGGTGGTTTACAAGACGCCGTAAAGTTTTATCAAGGTCAAAATATATGGTATTGGGACTTGATAAAAAAAAAATTGAGTATTTAGAATTATTATGTCACGTAAACAATTACCCGATCGAGCGATTTTTATAAAAATTAGCATATAAAAAGATTTTTATTATATGGAAATAAAAATTTGTCTTTGTTGAGGAATTTTAATTACTAATTATAGTGAACCCACGTAAGTAGCGTTGTACGTTATCATTGTCCAAAGGTTTTTTTGACCATGTCCAACGTCCAAATGTCCAAGTATCCAAAAGATGTCCAAAGCATGTCCAAGCTTTAATAATCGATATAGAATTTCATAAGCTTTGGGTTTATGGTTAGCGTGTATTTGGAGCAGTGCACGCGTTTATAGAGGATTTGTTGTTGTTCTATATCAGATATAGTGAAAAACAAATTCTTTTTACATTGCATTGAGCTTTAGACTAATATAATTCGTTCGTGTACATATAAACCAATTATTTAAAAGGGACATAAATTACGAATTTCTTCATGCTTTATTAATAAAATTATATAAATGTTATAATGATTTTTTATGATTCATGCTTCCAAACCTTAATAGTTTCTTGTACCAAAATCACTAGTTGGTTTGTAACAATGCCAGTAAATCTCCTCCCGATTCCAGAATAAACACATCCAATAATTGGTAAATTTTCTAATAAATCTTTTAAACTCCAAATATCTTCATGTTTAACAATTTTTTGTTGCTCATTAAATTCAAATCGTGTAATTGTACGTAATTCTATTTCATTACGAATAAGTAGTAGTTTTAAAGGTAACCTATATTTGATAAATGCGTCGATACTAACTATATGATGGTTTCCTGCTACTTCTGTATCAGTGATAGTATGAATTTCGGGTGTTATATTTAAAAACATCGTAGACAGAAGAATGAATTGGCGGATTATTTTGTCGTGACCTTGGATGCTGACGATAGGATCTTCGAAAACTTTTATGAGAAAAGCAAAATAAAAATGATCGGTTATCACAGGATTGTTCGTGTAATTAATAAAAATTAAATTTATTCAATTCATTCTCTAACATTTGCATTTTAATTTAATATGTTCATATATAAATAATGTATCAGTAAAGTGTGCCAAATATATATCCGGCATTAAGTTATCGCGTCGAATTCAGTTGTTTTATTATTAAGAAAGAGAGTAAAAACCTACTTACCAGCATTAACATCGAAATATCTCTCGATTACATGTTTTTGTGCATTTTTTTTCTTTGAATATAATGTAGAGTGGATTTCTCTCGCCACTTCTTTTTCTGTTTTATCGTTCATTATTTTTGAAATAAGAAACGATATGGAGATCTTTGAAATAATATTCTTACATTTAATTGACTAGTGTTAAGTTTTGCTTCCCAGTGGGAATTTTTAATCTTATAGTGAGTATTTACAATGGTAAAAACTTCAATGGAGCTCAAGCCATAAATCCTCGTGAAATTAAGGGGTACATTTTTGTAACACCATCAAAATCCAAATTTTGTTAACGTTAAATAAGTGATTTATAAATTCTATTTTTTTTATATGATACAGATACATCTATTTCGTTTTCTGATTTCGGAATCTCAAAATAGAAATGGGAATTTTTTAATGAATTACCCTAATAAGTTATGACATTATATTTACACTTTTAATAATTGCAAAATCTAATACAGTACATAGCTGCTTTATTATAATCTCATGGCAAATCCATGGGTAAATAAACTGGTTTTACAAGATTACATGGATAGATAAACTACATATCAGTGATATGTAGAGCTACATATCGGTATTATTAAATAATTGACATGAGTAATTTGCAGACAAATTCATTTCATAAACAGGTTTTTAGTCGGCATCTTACATCATAGACAGTTGACAAAGTAATTCTAGTCATTGTCATTAAGATTATGTTTAAAAAAAAAACTTGCCTGTAAATGTGCTATCGTCGAAATAAGCTCATATATAAATTATTTGTAAAATAATCTTTTCTTTGAATAATAATTGTCGGTGAAATAATATTAATACCGATCCTTTATTTGATCGATTTGATATCTGATGTAAGTCTTAGCCAATTAGATTGTGACATTTCACCAGTGGGATTCAGAATTCCAGCAAGTATATAGGAGACCTGCTTTATTGAGAGAGAGTAACGCAATTACGGGTTTGGGTCAAAATCCTGATAAACAGGATCCTGACAGGGTCAATAGGAATTTCGGGGTTCTTATTTTCGGGATTTTGACTCAAACCCCATAATTACTAGTCGCGTATTTTTTTTTCTGGCAAGTTCTCATGTAAAATAAGATTTTTGACTTTTTTTTTGTTGAAAATGCTTACATATTCCTCTTTTATTTCGAGAATTTTACTATATTATTATACGTCTTTGTTTTTTCATGGAAATAATATTTAACTAATCATTCGTTTTTTATATCTAGTAAACACAATATGGCCAATAATATTCTCTTAACTAGAGATGAGCTTATCACATCAGATGTGTGCATGATGCTCTCAACTGTTTTGTTCGCGTGAGACCGTCAATGATATTTTTGAGACGGTTGTTGTCAGTATTTATTTATTTTTTTTATATTTTATTTGTATGTTGTTCTGGTAGCATTTTTTTGTGAAACAAAGAGGACTATGATTTAAGTGCTATATTTTCCGAAATCAACACTATGGAATAATTCAGAAACAAAATGTTAACTGTTATATAAACGAAATCTAGCCACCAGGGTGCTAGCTTTATTGATATAAAAAAATAAAATACAAGAAAATGTATACCGTATCCTGCCGTGAATAAGCACCCACCTTTTGCAATTTTCATATCCAAGTTTCTCATGATCTAATGATCAGATCTGTATAATTTTGGTATTATTCGAATCAGCATATCGAAACGATTCGAATGGTACCAAAATTGTACAGATCCGATCACTAGATCATGAGAACTTGGATATGAAAATTGAAAAAGGTGGGTGCTTATTCACGGCAGGATACGGTATACAGTATATTCCAAAACACCAATAATTTTCTTCTTTAAATTCCTGCCGGAGGATTTACGTCACTTTCTTTTCTTGTTCTTATTAGTTCTTCTTTATTGAGAGATATATTGACGTGCAGGATATTCTATATAATTTATAAAATTACTAACCAAGCTTTAAAAAACTAAAAATTTGAGTGAGTTCTCATACCCGTAATGTCGATAATGCTTCCACATAATTATGTTTATTTTTTGTCTTGGTGGTTTTTTATCAAACCAGTACTGGATTTCTTTAAAAACTCACTTTAACCCGCTCGTGCTATTTTTTTTCGAGCCTAATACATGCTATCGTTTATATCTATTCATAATTTTACCGTCGTTTTTTCTCTTGGACATTTTGACATCGCAGACAATACGAAATTTAATATTAATATTATATAGTATTAATATTAATACTAGTTGTGTGCAAACTTCAGCATGGAAACCTTCCTATCACTATGTGAACAAATTGTGTTGTAATGTCAGAGAAGTTTCAAGTAATTAAAATTATATAAAGTGCAAATTTGAAACTTAGTAAATTACATGGTTGTGTTGCAAAAACAATAGGCAAACAAGATTAAATGAGTGCTGTCAAAGAGAAATATGGCTTAGGTCTTTCAAGTTTATCCTGTATATGATGTATGGGGTGTTACGTACGTATTAAAAAGGGCCCATTTTAACAATTTTCAAAAAAAAATTTTTTTTTTATTTGACTTTTAAATAGATATATGTTCATAAAAAGGTTTATAAGTTAAAAAAGCTAATTATATAATAAAAAGATTCACAAAACAAACTTGAAGCAGAAATTCAATTAACTCAATATTGTTTGTGTTTGTATGAAAAATGGGCTGTTTTAACACGTAACAATTTTTGTGGACGCGCTAATTCGGACAATAAATTTACATAATAAGCAATTAACAGAACTTTAAAGAAAATTTGTCACTTCTGATAAATTTTATTATGTTCATTAGTGATTTTTCATATTATTGTATTTTTATATACTAAGCAACTAACGAAATTTCGACCAATCATATGGTTTTTAATCATTATGTGAACCATTTTATTTTTATATTAAATGATTAGTGTACCATAATTTATTTATTTGGTGTCATTTGATTCTCTGGAAGAATTTTAAGTTTGCTGCTTTTAGTGTTCTGATTTCTTTTGACCGTCGATACGTTCTTCAGGCGGAAATCCTTTTCTGTTTTATTTAATATTGACATTGTATTGACAACTCGCATCTATTATAATATTAATTCAGAGACCTTGAAAATAAATGAAACAAAACAAATGGGGACCCCACAGCAAGAGGGTGCATTGGGACAAAAATTTTAATTTTGTAATCTATTAATTTAATTCAAGAAATCAATTAAAATAAAATAAAAATTTTTTGGCCCAATGCCCCACGGACTCAATATCTTCTGGTATGCAATAGAGTTCACTTTTATTAATGAGTTGCATAACCAGCCGGGAGATCTAGTGTCAAAATCATTAAAACCAGACCTATAAAATATATAAAATTTAGAAAATATAAATATAAATATATAAACAACAGAATAATAATAAAAATAATAATACTTTATCGCCATGAATATAACCCACTGTTTCTATTTTTTCCATTTTTCCTGACTCCATCCTGTATTCCTACATAAGCTAACAAACATATCACGCAACATTAGAGTGGGCCTCAACTAATTAAATCAATTTCGGATTTTTTATAGGCCGTATATTTAAATATTAAATTAGCATAACTATCAAACAAAAGTATATATAAATTTTTTTTAACTTGAAGATCTCAACTAGCTCTACATGGTAATAGAGCTATTTTTTAAATAAATCTTTTTTAAAAAACTTAATTAATATTGAAAAAAGTAGCTCTATTACCATGTAGAGCTAGTTGAGAGCTTCAAGTTAAAAAAAAAAATTATATACACTTTCATTAGATATTTGTGCTAATAAATATAAATTTAGTTTTATAATTATTTTGATGAACGATAATATCGAAATTTAACCATTAATAAATCCGAAATTAATGATTTAGTTGAGGCCCCACCCTAACGCAACTTCTTTGAAAGTTTTTAATCCTGACTCATAAAGCCACTTGGTTGCACTTTGTCCTTCATAGCGTTTTCCAACTTCGAAATCTTCATATTCAAATCGCATCCTGCCTGACATCTTTCTAATTATTGCATCGCTTCTTCTATCTTTTTTCAAATATCAATAGTACGGTCTCTGTTTTTTCGATCAGAGCAGAGCTCGCAAGGCTTGATGATTCGCCCCTAATAGAAATTGCAATTAATATATTATGTGATTCCCAATCTTAGGTAAATACACAACAGTATCTACTTCAAAGTCGTATTCTTCGTGATCAATTTCTTTAATAATTTTTATATGTAAGATATGTTACCAATGAGATAATAACATTTTCGACAATTTTTTTAAACAAACTTTATTGCAAAATCTTTCATAAAGTTTAGAACTTAAATCAGGTTCTTCCTTGTCATTCGTTTAACAATTTCCTGTAATTCTTGAGGTGGATCGTCGATATCTATAATGAAGGAACGAATTAAACTATTGCATATTAAATGAGTTAGTTATCAAGCTCATAAAATTCGTAAAAAAAAACATCCAAAAATATTAACTCAATAAACTTACTGTTCTGATGTAAAATCAGACATACACTCATATATAGTGTCTTCTACAACTCGGCCTGTGCATTTAAGTTTCCACTTTAGGCTGTCCTTCATTTTATTATATTCTTCGTCAAATCTCTTTTTCGAGATCTGATTTAATGTTCTTTTCTTCACTATCAGAGAGTTCATTGCAAGCTCTTATTTTTCACTTTGCGTAGCTTTTCTCTAAATGATGTTTCGGTATACTAACGCAATGAAATAAAGAATTATTAGTTCTACGGCCTAGCTAGAAAAGAAAATAATGATTGGTACCTCATCTCGATTTCTTTTGTTTGATGATTCTATAATATTATTTAAGCCACCGATATTTTGGGTACCACCAGTGTTGGAAATCTTATGTTCTCATGTTCTCATGAGAACATTCCTTTAGATTTGAGACCATTTGGTATCCTGTAAATGTTCTCTATGAAAAAAAAATCGAGAACATAATATTTGAAAAATATGTTCTCTATATAGGTATTATATAAATAAAATAGCATAATGCCAGATGGAAATAAAATTAGGAATTGAACAAAGTTCAGAAATCATCCGAAAAGAAAATGAATGAACATAAAAGACGAGAAGGTTTGGGACAAAAGTTTGAATAAATGACTGATATTTTCCGAAATAAGAAATTTTATTGTTGAGAACATAAATAAATTTCTGAGAACATTTAAATTAAATAAATTTGTTCTTATGAGAACATAAATCATAAAACATATTTCCAACACTGGGTGCCACCCGATATGTTTTTTATATTGATTAAGGGTTTTCTTTGTGATTCTTCACGAACTTTGGCGCAAACGTATCACTCTAAATAAAAAAAATTTCGAGAATTAATATTCCAACTAATCTCATCTAATTTCAATCCCGCCCGGGCCAGAAGCCTTTAACATCAGGCAAACTTAAAGGTCACCTGTGCCCCAATTCTCAACTACCGGTAGTATCATATAACATCAGGCAAAGCTTAAAAGGTCACCTGTGCCCCATGGGGCCAGAGTTGGGGCGATTCAAAAGACTTGCCCAACACTAGCAATTAACGCTAATCTCTATCCTACTAGGTTGGCTTAAAACAGTCGAGCTCTGCGGGTCACTGCGGCCTCGGTGGGGCCAGAATTGGGGCTTGAACACAAGCAAGCTCTGCGGGTCACTTGTACCTCCAATAATGGCTTCGTGGCGCGGCTCAAAAGACTTGAAGCTTACGGGGAGCTCGGCGGGTCCCCGACACGTCCACCTATTCTTATATACAGTATTTATAATAAAAAATTCATACTGTACCTCTTTGTATTTGTTTAAGAGTTTCTGTGCTTTTTTGATTTTTTTGTCATCCGTGTTGTTTTCAAGGGACATGTTAAATAAAGACTTATTTTAGCACGGATCGTTCCTAACTCACATTCTTCTAGAAAAGTCTCAAGATTCCACTTGGAAGATTTACGGTAGAAGTATGAGTGCATTTCTATTAAAGAAAATAAAACTAGCTATATACGGGAACTAGAAAGTTATTTATTTATTTATTTTGATTAAATTACGAGTCCCTTAAATCACGTGAACACAATACATTCATACATCTTCCCCAGCATCGCCACCAATTTTTTTTCGATCACGTGATCGTACAAAAATCGTTAAGTTCGTTTAGATTAGGGTTAGGGTCTGTGCTAAGGTTAGGGTTTATGTGTTTTTAATAGCAAAATCGCTCAAGAAAAACTTTTTGTTAATGCACAGAAGGTGATTTCTTATGTAAATTTTTGAGTTAGAGGAGAATTTTTGAAAACGAACGTTTGTTTCGGATCTTCCTGATTGTGTTACGTTACACCAAGGCGTGATTTATTATTGGATAGTTTCACGTGATCGAAAAAATTTTATTAGTATTTTGGTGGCGATCCAGGGGAAGTTACATTCATACAGGATTCAGATCCTGAACTGGATCTTCTGAATAAGTTTATCCAATCAATTTAACTCTGTATTGTTTAAATAATATATAAATGTATTATGTTTTCACGTGAGTTAAGGACCGATTAACATCCCTAGGTTAAAGGTTAGAAAAGGTATTATATACGCTGTCTCAAATAATGTTTGGAACCGTCTAAAAAATCTCCACCCGAGTCACCCACCCACCCGCGAGTGACGTCTACCCAGATCCAATTACTAGTCTCGCAATAATAAACTTACTTGACTGGCTATACTATTTTCCACTAATTGCTCCGACTTATTAATTTAGCTATTAATGTCGGTTAAACCAACAGTCAGTATAGCCAGAGTATTTACAAATGGCATATCAAATCACCTGCGCATTAACAAAAAGTTTCCTTGACGATTTTACTATAAAATGTTCAAACCCAAACCCTAACCCTAACCTAACATAAAAAAAACTTACCGAATTTTGTTGTTGGTAATCACGAGTTCTAGATTATGTATTATATATATTGATATTAATGCAGTCTAGAAAAAATCATTATTTGGAACTTGCTTATGTATTGCACTTATTTTTTGTATTTATTATACGTATTTTAATAAAACATACTACATCGATATCAATATAATACATAATCTAGAACTCGTGATTACCCCACAATAATTCGGGATAAATTTTTAGGGTGGTTCACGAATTTTGAAATTAGCTATAATTAGGGTAGCTGCATCTTAAAATTAAAATTTTCAGAAATGGGGACGTCCATAGCAAAAACAGTAGATAGGACTATATAATATGAGTGTTGCCAAGGAAAAGGGCTACTTAGGACTTATTTTTTTTTGGTCAAAGATATCTCAACAACTACTTGATTAATCAAATTTTTTTATAATTAACAGTGACATAGTTATAGCATAAATAGTAAAAGCATACAAAATTTAAATTGCAATAACTTCTAAACAAACAAACCTACATTACATTTGTTAGATTTATTTTAGTATACTCTTTAAAGTAACAATGCCTATTTTTTATTTATTTTTATTGTTTAAAATATAGTGGAGGACTCAGTTTTTATACAAAATTGTTGTTGTTTTTGATATTTTTTAATAAAAACATCAAAATATTTTCTCATATTGTATTATACAATACAACAATAGATTTAAAGTTATAGTTTTGATATTTTTTGTATTCATATACTATGATCATTGGCAAGAGAGCTAACAATTATCAGATGATTTTCTGGGAATCAAAAAATTAGAATTTTATATATAAGACCTAATCAATTATATATTAAAAACTAGGTGAGTGATAAAAAAAAATCAAGTGATAAATAATACTACCCTAATTTTTGTTATAATTTTCTCTCAAAAAATAAATAAATAATTTCCAGAAGCATGTTACTAAATGTTTTTTTATTTTTTATTTTATTAATATTAAGAATAAATCTATATGTCGCTACTAGCAATATGCTTATATATTGCATATATACATAGATTATAATTTGACTAAAATAAATCATGTTTTTGTTTAGTTAGGGTTAGGGTGAGGTGAGAGTAAGTGTATGGGCTAGAGTTAGGGTTAGATGAGCATTAAAGTAAAACTTTATAAGAAATTTTTTTTGTTAGAGCACAAAGGATAGTTTCATATGTAAAATATATTTTGATTATACTATGTTTTGGTTAGTCAATTATTAAAATGCAATATATAAGCACATTGCAGGGTAGCGACATCTAATTAAGTCTTAATATTAATATCATATATAAAAAAGCAAATAACTTTTATCAAGTATTACATGAATATATAATATCATTGGAACATTATTGGAATGATTTGCCTGCACCTCTAGTGCCAAGTAATCTTTATACAAAATTTGATTTTTTTAAAAAAAAAGCTGCAGTCAAATTTTTTTTTAGCTTTTAATAAATATTTCTCAACACTTAGCTATTCAAATTTAATATAAATTTTTTTATTTTAGTTTTATAAATTCATAAAATCAAAAAAAATTTCAACAAATTTGGATAGTTAACTGGCAAAAAATTTTTGGTTAAAGTTTAAAGAAAAAAAATTTATTAATTTTCTAAGATATTTTGTGTTTTTTAAAACATTTAGCAATAAACTTTTTTTTTATTTTAATTCTACAAAACTATAGAATTAAAATAAGAATTTTTTACTGAATTTAATTGAGAGAAATTATTGTTAGAAGTTTTATTCTTTTAATTTGTAATCGTTATTATGCATGTCATATTGGGGTATTTGATGTACTATGTAGATCAAATTTATGTATAGTCTCATATTAAAAAATAATATGATTTTTTTTTTTTTATAGATTATCGATCATCAATAAATTTTTTATAAGTTATATGTATATCGATAAAAAAATTATATAATAAAAAATATATATTTCTTTTATAGACTAACTCTAACTTTTAAATAATTCTAAAAAAATTTTAGTTGTCTCTTCTTCGCCATGTATTTCTATATCACCTTGTGAAGTTTCTTGTGACAGTCTTTTACATTTTGCACAAACTTCCGAGATCCCTAAAGCAATATTTTCTTCACTTATATTTCTGGATGAAAGTTTTAATTTTAACTGTTTTAGATTTTGTATCATATTTGGGTGAGTTTTCAAATTTAATTTATTAAAAAGTCCTTCGACTTGTTGTTAATGAATTATAATAAAATAAATTTGTTCTTTAACAAATTTATATAATAATGGGTACTTATAAATTTTGGAATTAGAAGCAAGACAAAATTTTTGAAATTCATCCTTAAATTCCGGGCAATTTAATAATTCATCTTGAAGGCCAAAGGTATTATTAATTGTTTTAAAATCATCATATAATTGTTGTGCAAAGTTAATTTCATTTTCTGTTGGCTCTGAAAGCCATAATTCAAAAATTACATAGTAGAATGCTCGTGCGAATTCATGGCCGGAATCTCCACC